TCTCTCTCTCTCTCTCTCTTTTTTTGTCACTTTGGCCTATTTAGCCTCATCTGAGCATCCTCTAATTAATTCAGGTTTGTTACTTTTTAGTAACCTTCCTTGAATTGACAAATTTCATATTAATGAGAGTCGGTACCAAGTATTTCAGGGAGTGAAATAATCTGGTCAACTGAGGCAAAATAATTACATTTGTGTATCATGTGTGCGTATCATTTAAATGATCCTTCTCCAATAATTTTCGTGAACTCTGCTTTGTTCGTGTGTTACTTGTGTTGTTTGGAGTTTAAGGTTGCATTATAGTTTGCAGTGAAAATGAATTGAGTATATACGTAAATAACCGTCCAGTCTTACCCAATGCATAGCATCCCTTTTTTAGTTCTGTAGTCCGAATTGATAATCCTTGTAAACATGTGATGTAAGCTTATGTCTTCATAGTTTGTCAGTTGCACTTTGGATGACCCAGTCTTTGGTTAGCTGTAACTTGTGAGTTGAAATGATTGCTGTTATTTGTTACAGTTGGAACTGCTGAGGATGCTGTAAATTCGACAGACATAGGGAAAGGTTCAAAGCCTCCAAAATTTCTCCCACCAATCGAAAATAAAGTTGTTCAGCCACTTATGATGCCTGGCCCAAGAGGCAATGTGAATAAAGTTATGCAGTTTGGTGAAGGAGGTCGACCAGTTTCATCCAAATCAAGTGGAGTATCGGCCTCTGATATCGAGGATCTGAGTGTTTCCTGGGATGATGTTATTCTAAAGGAAAGAATTGGAGAAGGTATTTCTTTTCCTTTTTTGATGCTGCTGCTGAGCTTACTGTTTATTGGTTGTCATAGCATGAAGGTGGAAATTTGTGCTTCTCAGAAATGTTTTCTTAACTATTTGGCTCTCTGTTTGCTTTTGCAGGTTCTTTTGGTAAAGTTTATCGTGCTGAATGGAATGGTTGTGTAAGATACACGTATCCTGATAATCTTCAAAGATATTACTAATAAATGTATTGTGACTTTGACGTTTGAACTCATAGTCCATTGTATTGGAAACTCGTAGACACCAGTTCTAAGTTCAGAATATAAACTTGTAGACACCATTTCCAAATTCATCATACATTCTGATAATTTTTATTTTATTTGAATATTATTAATTTTCATTTACTAAACAATTGGACTGCAATTCAACGATAAATCTTACAAGAGAAAACAAACCCTCCAGGATGTGGCTGTAAAGATTCTCATTGAGCAAGATTTTCATGGTGAACGATTTAAGGAATTCTTTCAAGAGGTAGGTTCTTATTCCGATCTTCGCTGTAACCTATGCTACATGTCACTGTGTGGTTCTTTAGCTTCTATACTTTGTTGGCTTAGGTGGCTATCATGAAAAGATTGCGCCATCCAAATATTGTTCTATTTATGGGTGCTGTAATGGAGCCTCCAAACTTGTCCATAGTCACCGAATATTTATCAAGGTACTATATGTTCTTTTTTGGACGTCAGACATTAATTATAATAGTTCGTGTACTTCTTGTAGCACTGTTCTAATTTTTCCGACTTATGTTTTCTCTTCAGAGGTAGTCTGTATAGATTGTTGCATAAACATGATGAAAGAGAATTCTTGGATGAGAAACGTCGATTGGGCATGGCTTATGATGTGGTGGGTATGTCCTCCGTCTAATATGGATTTTACATGACAAAATCAAGTCTAAGTCAATATTTTCCTGTACAGGCTAATGGGATGAATTATCTTCACAACCACAATCCTCCAATTGTTCACAGAGACTTGAAATCTCCTAATCTTTTGGTTGATCAAAATTACACTGTGAAGGTAAGGACTGGCAAATCTTATGTGGTTCTGAAGATATCCTGTGCAAAGTATGACGCTTAAGTTGTCAATGTGCTCGATTGATACAGTTAATAA